TTGCTGTGAATCTTCACTGATTTACATTGACCCATTTTGCACTGTTTCATTTTAGTGCCAGTGAGGTAATGGGGCCTGTATTCTTGACTTATTTTGTTTTAAAGTCTTTTAATAATGGTCGTACCATGTGACACAATCTTCACTGTTTTGGAACAGCTTCTCCTACTTTTCTGTCACTGCCAACATTCTAATGCGTGGCCTCTTGATTCGTATTGATTCTCCTTCCTCCTGTGCCTTGTTGCTCATCCCTAGGGCCCTTGCTTACAGCAAGGATTGAGGCAAGAGAAATGATGAGTGGAAAACTTGGAGAGCAGGAATTTCTAAAGGAGGTAGGATCAGCAAGGGATGGGTCAGGGAGCAGCAGAGGCTGCAAATTGGAGAGTCATCAGCATGGGACTGGATTAGGGAATAGGAGAGACCACAAGTTGGAGGGCTGGAAGCAAGGGCATGTGTTAACAAGTGGGAGGATCTGAAGTGACAAGGAGGGCCAGAGAGTGGGATGTGTGGCGAGTGGAAGTTTTGGGAAGCAGGATGGGTAATGAATAAGATCATCAGTAAACAGGATACACGTAGAAAATTAGCATAGTTCTTTCATATTTTAAAACTCATTTCATTTCCTGCTACAGGAATTTAGCAATGTAGACTATTTTAATTTCTAGGAAATAATATTTTTTTCTGCAGACAGAGGGGCTACAGAAGCTACTGCTTTCATGAGAAAATCTGATTTGCTTAAAGTTGTTCATTGCAGGAACACAACAACAACTTTTAGAGAGGAATCAAAATATTGGCCATACTAAAGAGTGTTTCTTCTGTTAAGGACATTGATGAACTAGATGGGTTTTTTTAAAAACAAAAATCCAGTTTTGTGGTCACCATTATTAAGACTATCTTTTAATTTCAGATTTATTTCATAAATTGAATTCAAATTCCTTAGTAACTGTGAGATTTGAGCTTAAGTCACAAGGATATTAGTCCAGACCTCTGGACCAGGATAGTGGTTACTGGATAAATATGTCCACAATTTACAACCAATGTCCCACCATGTTTGTGAATGGTTAATTATTGGAATACTGTAAGGTTTGATGAATGCAGAAGACACTTGGCTCAAGAAGGATCTTGAACAGTTAACAGGTTTCTGGGTGTTTGTACATTCTCCCCTCAGGGTAAAATTATTGTCATCCCTTTGACTGATGCTCTATACAGAAACAGATTTAGAATTCCTTACTTCCTAAAAAGGAGACACCTGATGTTAATTCTTCTTCACTCTTCTCCTACATTCTCATTACCCATTGAGCCATTTAAGTATTTAACTAAGCCAAATTATGCAGAACTTTATAGTATAGAAACAGGCCATTCAGCACTGCAGATTTATGCCAGTGCTTTACACAAGATTCTTCTTACCTTACTTCCTTTCACACTATGAACACAATTTACTATTCCTTTCACCTTTATATTTATCTAGTCTCCTCTTAATTATATCTGTCCTTTTCATATCATTCACTCTATGTCCTAAGTCAGTACCACATTCTAATCATTCTAATACTCCCTGCGTAAAGAAGTTACATTTGGTTCTTCTTTGATTTATTAGTGATTTTCTTTTATTCATAGCCATTAGTTTCAGACTCACCAACAAATCAAAATGTCTTCTCAATTTTGAACCTAGTTACAGTTTTAAAGAGTTCTACCATCATGTCACCTCCCAGTGTTATCCTCACTGGACTGTAAACATAGCATGTCCCAACCTATTCAGTTTATTTTCTTGCAGTTCTATTGTTTTAAATCGGACACAATCCCTGTAAATCTTTTTTTTCACTTTCTCCTGTGCTTTTTATCAATTCTGCAAAATAGAAACCAGAAGTATCTATAGCAATCTCAGTGTGGTCTGAGGTTTGAAGTACATATAACATCACTTCATTGTCTTTAAATTCTACAAGGAATAAATTTTAAATAGATATTAAAATGTTGGAAAATGCATGGCAAATTTTCCAACATTGAAATGAGGTTAATATTTTGTGTATGACCCTTCATAGAAGTTCTTCTAATCAGGGAGTAAGCCATAAACCAAAATAACCAAATTTTCTGAACGACCCACATATGAAGAAATTATCAATAAGGTTCTATACTACTTTTTGTAGCTTCTACTTTAACACAGATCATAACCAATGTAAATTACACATGAATTAGCAGGCAAATGATACTTCAAATGAAGATATAAATTGCATTTTAAATAGTCAATACAACAAAGGTATATCTTAATGTAGAGAAGCATTCCCATCATTCCCTACACAAATGTAGCCATACATTTACACAATGTGCTGCTGTTTATTCATGCAGGCTAGACTGGGAGTCCTATCTGTCAACAATTTTCATCTTTGAGTTTCACAGGTATGATTACCATCAGCAAGGCATACTGAGCTCACTATTCTCTTTCGTTATAACATTCCTGATGGTGTAGCTTTCCATTGTTTATTTTAAGTGATCAACTAGTGGCCTCCAAGTGCTCCTATTTCCTTTTCTACCAAACAATGATTTGCTTCTGCTCCTTGCAAGAATTTTCTATCTTGTTGTATTTGTTTGCTTCCCCTTTCTGTTTCCTTCATTCATTGCATTCATCATCCAGCTCCTGTTTATTGCTCTTCTTTGCAGTTGTAGCTCCCCTTTGTTTCTGCCAGCCACGGTGCTTCTTGCTTAATTTCCTTCTTTTAGGTACTGCTTCCAAGGATTGTCTGGCCACAGGGACCAGCTTTTCTTCTTAGCAAAGAAAATTGCATCTGATCCTTCTACAATAGAATCAAACTCTCTAAAGTGTGTTACAAATATTCTTCAAACTAATTACAGATTTCATAGGCCTTTTAAAGAAATTATAAAATCTTATTGCACTACTGCTTGAATATAAATATGAATATAAATGATCAAAACAAAAGGAAAGATCTTTTTGCCTGTTTAAGCTTTTTAAATCGCAACATATTTGGCTTGATATAGATCAATCCTTGTTCTTCAGGCTTCTGATTGACAAAGAAGTGTATCTAGAACCAGATTTCAACCAATTAAAAAAAAACTACCTTTTAAATTATTCCAGCCTTCAAAAATAAGAATAGCAGCATAAATAAAAATACAGCTTCTCCAGAGAAATACAGTGCAACAATGGTCATTTAAGTTACAAGATCATAACATAACTACAGATGAGAAAGGTTGTTCAATTCAGCTCCATCACTGAAATCCTGTGTTCTCTGGACAAATCTGTTTCTTAAATGGTCAAGACATGTAGACTCCAGGATTTTATTTAGAAGTGCATTGATTGCATTAATATAGATTTTCTTTTTTGAAAAATAACCTTTTAATTTCAGTGTTAAATTATGTATTTTTCACTGGGTTGAATCAGTGATCCCCTACCTACACTTGAAATTTTAATTTTGAAGTAGTATTTCAGATTTACCTTTCACATGCCCCTAACGACATAACAAACTTTCATGAGATCACCTAATTTCCAGGCAGAATAGACAATGATCATGCCATTTTCTCATACCTCAGATTATTTCCTCTACAGAGCAGCCTTGTGCCTTCTTTGTGTTTCTTTAATATTGCAATGGCTTCCTTACTTGTCATGACAGTCACAAACAGTACTCACTGCACAATCTGACCATGAGTGTCGGCAACTTGTGTTCAACTTTACAAGTTCGACATTCTATTGATTTTGTTGACTGCCACTTTGCATTAGTTGAATACATCTACTTATCTTTTTGAACTTCATCCTTAGCTGTGTCAATACCACTCATAAAGTACCATTTTCCTCCCGTGTGCAATACTTTACATTTATATTGCAAGTGCAATTCCAACTCAGATATTGTCCAAATTGTTATGTAATTTCTAAGCCATTTTCTCCAATTCTAGTGACCCTCCCAAATTTGGTACCGTCTGCAAATGACTTGCAGTTATGTAGTAATGTTTTGAATTCAAATCAGCTATTAATTTAATCTAATTATGACTTCAATTGAGAAACTAAGTTTAAAAGTATCACAGACAGTGATTCATAAAGATGTCAGGAGGAGCAGAGTAGACCTGAGACCAATATCCATCCGTTCTTCATCCATTTGTTCATTAAAATTATAGTGGTGGGTTCTACAATTGGTGTAGGACTCCAACTTAAATAACCTCCTGTTTTGGGTAAGAATTCTCCATACTATGTATAATATGTACTTACAGTATTTTTTTTCTGATTTAGGCTGTAACAAATCAAGCTGATGCATTTTTTTTGACTTATGTTATCACTTGTATTCATGTAAACATATTAACTACACTGGACTGAAATGTCAGCCTAGATTGTGAGCTTAAATAATCATCAAGTTGGAACCAATGACCTTTCTGACACTGCGGCGAGCATTCCATCAGTCAAGGTGGAGGCTGAAACTGTGATTGTCCATGAGTCTTTCATTGTGGAGACATTAGCTACGGATCTGCTTGGATGTGCCACATAATACAAGTTGTAATTTAGTGTTGCAAAGCCACCCAACTTTGCACAAAGATTGGCCTCCTTCAATTAACGAACCATATGTTGCATATTCTTAGAAGACATTCCCACTGCATGCACATATGTTTGATGCCCTGTAATCATCCTATTAATTGCTGGACAGGTAGGAACTGGGTCTTGAGTCTGAAGTACATTTCTTTGTAATCTAACAAGCAAAATCTTCCCTCTCATCTTCGAACCTTAGCCCTTACTGTGATTGACAGATCAGAAAGGTCTACTATGTCATCTTCATCCTACTTCCTGCTGTGATGTATCTAGAGAAGGAGGAGAGGTTAAAATGGGTTTCTAGAAGCACAATTCCTGTAATATTCAGCAGAAGTATGGTCAGGATTTTATGTTCAAGCTTGAGATCAGTACAAATGTGTTCAAACTTGTTGACAGGTAATGAAGGGTATGATAAGATAAGAAGCTGAATGTCTTGATGAATTTGTAGCTGGCTCCAGTCCTTTGATGGCTCCATATCCTGGCTGTCCTCTAAAGAGTTACAATGCTTCTTCCTTATCAGGATGAGAAGACAGGGATTGGTGGGCCATTGCCTTGGAGAATTTCTTGTTTTATGGGTAGTCTTCTCCTTTAAAAGAAATTTAAAAAGTAAACACCTATCAGATTGACAAGATGTAGTCAACAGGTAGATCATAATGAGGTTGTGACCAGTGCATGAACAGAAGTAATTAAAATGGAGGGTTTTTAGCCTTGTGCATGCATGTATGGCTAAAGGACAACACTTATAGGTGAAGATAAAGAAAAACAAAGAACTGCAAATGCTGGAAATCAGAAACAAAACAGAAATTGCTGGAAAAGCTCAGCAGGTCTGGCAGCTTCTGTGAAGAGAAAGTAGAGTGAATGTTTCAGGTCCAGTGACTCTTATTCAGAACCTTCTTCACCTTACAGGCGAAGGTTGGAAACAGAAAGTCTCCCTTGATACTTTCAACAATAATCTCTTGAAACACTGGTTACAAATAGCAGATGGTATAATTCAGTGTATATTTGGAAAGTGCAGCTGAACACTCTTGCTTACCTGAACAGGTAATACTATTAATCCAAACATAAGGTCATCAAGTTGATACTAGTTGGCCTTGATTCATCCTTTCATGACAACTTTTAATAGTTCAATCTGTTCAGCCCTAACCTTGATTCTGAAAACCTGTCACCTTCAGTCCTGTTCCAAACCTCTGTCCCATTGTCCAATTATTTTTACACTGATTTCAAACAAAGTGTTTGTTGCTGATGCCCACTTATTTGATTTAACTTTGTGAATTCCTTGGCATTGAGAGAAGCACTAACAACATTATTTTTTGTCTGTCTGCACTTGTGTCAACATTTTCTTGGTAGAAGAAATCACCAACCCTATTAATACTATGCTTCATAAAAACAAATAAATGTCAGTTGGACAGACTTACAGAATTTTTTTTAACCTTAGTCACTAAAAATGTGACTCCCAATTTTAATCTGCTGAATGAGCAGCAGATTTCTTATGCACACTGTTCCTCACAACTGGAGACTATCACTGTCCACAATGTATGTAGGGAAAATCAGCATTTAGGTGATGAAGCTATGAACTTATAGACTGGTGCAGATATCCTAACAACTGGGGTCTCCTGGAGCCTTGTCATTTCCAGATCCCAAGTTGTTCACATTAATTATTTGGAGAATTTCATTGCAGACTGATTTAAGGCAGAGAGATTTATTTTATTGTCTACCTTCAGTGTGAGTTGGTGAACAGGGTGACTGTGTGGCTTCAGATGGTTGCCCAGTCTGTGACCCAGTAGAATTATATTTACCAACACCAACATTGGAAGAAACGAGTGGACCTTTAATCACCTGAAATAAATCAGAGCATGAACTCAGTGGTAGATCATCAGACATGAGGAATCCCATTTAATAATGTATTACATAAATTGTTATAAGTCTTAAGATCTTATATTAGTTACTGCCCTTCTACTTACTGTCCCACCCTCTTCCTCTCCTTATGGGAAACAGCTGCTCAATAATATTCCTTTCCAAAGCAAATTGTGCTGATATTTAACAATTGTGGGTCGTAATTTACAGCATAACTCTTCAACTTGTCGAACCATTATTTATGACAGCAGGATAATCTTTACGAGCAGGAAAGAAGGCCATTAAGCTCAATATAAAAAAAAGGAATTCCCACCGGTATGTGAAAAAATTAAGATGCAAGTAATTAAAGCTCAATATTCCAGGGTATAGAAGTTTCAGGCATGAGGAGATGTGGGGGAGGTGGAAGTATGAGAGGTGGGGGCATTGCATTCTTGATAAAGGAAACCCATCACTGTGGTAATGAGGGGGGACATCCTAGAAGATAATACTCTTCAAATGAGGTCATCTGGGTAGAACGTAGGAAAGAAAGGGGTGAATTACCTTGCTGGGACTGTTAAGATCAATGGGGTCCAAGGCAAATTGGCAAACTGGATGCAAGATTGGCTTCCAAACAGTAGTCAAAGGGTAATGATGGAGGGATGTTTTTGTAGTTGGAAGCCTGTGACCAGTGATGCACCAGAGGAATTGGTGCTGATGGCCTTGCTGTTTGTTGTGTACAACAATTGTGTATAATTTGAATATGAATGTAAAAGGTTTAATTAATAAGTTTGCAGATGACACGAAAATTGGAGAGTTGTTGATAGTGAGGAGGATGGTCTTTGAGATGCAATCTGATATTGATCAACTGGTAAACTGGGTAAAGCAATGGCAGATTGAATTTAATCCTGATACGTGTGAGGTGATGCACTTTGTGAGGTCCAATGAGGGAGGGGTATACACAATGACTGGTAAGTCCCTAGGGAGTATTGAGGAACAAAGGCACCTTGGCATACAAGTCCACTGATCTCTGAAGGTGTCAGCACAGGTAGACAGGGCGGTGAAGAAGGCATATGGGATGCTTGTCTTCATTAGCCAGGATGTAGAATATAGGAGCAAGGAAGTGTTGTTACAACTTTATAAAACATTGGTTAGGCTATTGATAGAATATTATGTGCAGTTCTGGTTGCCACGCCATCAGAAGAATGTGACCATTGACCAACCGAAATCAACATGACAATATAATCACAGGTCCAAATTGAACAAACTGGACTATTTTTTTGTTTTTGAAAACACCCTATAATTTACAAAGTTCACCATCATATTATGAAATTTAAAATGAAGTGCTGAAGTCCATAGTGGAGGATGAAATGTTCTGTCCTACTCAATATATGCAGCAGCTTCTTGTCTCTAATCTGATTTAACTGCTCCTATATTATGGAACAAATTATAAGCACAAATACTGGTACACGAATACAATGTAGTGTTAATTACTGAAACTGTTTTAAAATGGTGAGGATTAAGCACCTGACATACAAGGATGTAAAGTGCTGAAAATAGGGAAGGACAAAAGGGTGTTGGGGTCCTTGTACTGATTAAGGAACAAATTACAGTGTTCGAAAGAAGGAATGTCCTTGAGGGGCTAAGGATTGAGTCCATTTAGCTAGGGTTGAGAAGCAAAAGAAAACTATGCTACGTGGGGCTCCTAGTTAGTGAGACCTCAAATAATGAAAGAGGAATAGAGGAACTAACCAGCAGGGAAATCACAAAGATGTGCAAAAAATATAGAGTGGTGACACTGTGTGATTATAATTACCCAAATATCAATTGAGGTAATGTTAGAGTAAAAGGTGAGGAGGGATAGGAATTTTTGAAGTTTATCAAGAGAAATTCCTTTGCACAATTGGAGAGGATACATAAGCTAGATCTGCTGTTGGGAAATAAGGTGGACAAAGTAACTATAAGGAAACATTTGGAAAAGGGTGATCATTATATTATAAGGTTTGAATTAGTAATGGCAAAGACTAGGGAACAACATAACATAGAATTTCTAAATTGGAAGAATTCTAATTTTGATGTGATGAGACAGTACCTAACAGTGTAAAATGGAACCAAAGACTGACAGGAAAACTTTAATTGACATTAGCTGATCTTTGAGAAAGAAATGCTTCAGGTACAGCCTATTGCACTCCAACGGGCAAAAGATAAGGGAGTCGAAAACAGGGCTCCTCAGATGACAAAGAAGATAGAGATTATAATGAAACACAAAAGAGGGTGCATGATGCATGACAGGTGAATATTTCAATTGGAAACCTGGTCCAAACAATAAATTGAGAAGGAGGTGAAGAAAAAAGTAAGACTGTCAAAGAGAGACCGCGCATAGAATGGCATCAACATTTACAGGAACCCAAAAAAATCCACCAACAGGTAAGTCGTAAGTAGGCAGTAGAAGTTTAAGTGGGCTCTATTAAGGATAGAGAGGGCGATGTTATCAAGAGACACAGGATAAGGCTAGAATAGTCAATGAGTTCTTTGAATGGTGTTTACTAAAGAATGGGGATCTGACAAATATTTGGAGAAGTGGAGATAATGGAGGCAGTGGAAAGTATGAAAATGCAAGGGAGCAAGTACGGGAAAGTACGAAAATAAAAACAGAAATTGCTGGAGAAACACAGCAGGTCTGGCAGCATCTGTGGACAGAAAGCAGAGTTAACATTTTGAGTCCAAGGCCCTTCTTCAGAACCGATTGAAACTCGGAAAAGGTGGTATATATGCTGAAGATGGGGAGGGGGAGAAAGGCATTGAAGTGACAGGCAGAGATGGACCCCAGAGGGAGAGAACAAAAGTTAGACAGACAAAAGGATGGTGTGCCAGGGAGAAAGTAGAGCTGATAATCAGGACCATGAGTAGGTGAACATGGGCTGGGTGTGCTGAAAACAGCCATGTCATGACAGGGGCTCGGGTGTGGGGATGGGCAAAGGATATAGAGAAAGGTGATCAGGTTCTAAAATTATTATACTTGATATTGAGTCCTGAAGGCTGCAGTGTTCTTAAACAAAGAATGAGATGCTGTACCTCCAGCTTGCACTGTGCCTCGCTGGAATACTGCAGCCTAGAGCAGGCCCAGGACAGAAATGTTGGCCAGAGAACAAGGTGGTGTATTGAAGTGGCAGGCAACTGGAAGCTCTGAGTCATTTTTGCTGACAGAACCAGGGGGTCCACATAGGGGTCACCCAGTCTGTACTTTATCTCCCCAAAGTACAGGACACCACATGTGAGCAGTGAATACAGTAGACTAGATTTAATGAAGTGCAGGCAAATTGTTGCTTCACTTGTAAGATGTGTCTGGAGCCTTGGATGGTGGGGAGGGAGGAGGTAAATCAGCAAGTGTTCGGCATTCTGAAAATTCATGGGATTGTGGGAAAGTGTTGGGATTAGAGGGGAATATGTTTTGGGCATAAAAAAACAGTGGGATCATGAAGAACAACTTATTTACAAAGCAAATCACAATGACCTAGACCTGGCTATGAAGTTGGTGCAAGTACAGGAAATCAATGATTTGGAAAGGAAATCCAAAGGTGCCTTAAGGAAATACATTTGCAGGATTATAGGAATCAGGCATGAATGTAAGACTGACTGGGTTGCTCCTTGGTGAGCCTGCATGGCTCAAATTACCTTAATTGTGCTTTAAATGACTTGATAGTTTGGATCTTTTATTCCTTTATCAGGAAAGTAGAGGGGGGACATTGCCCAAATCTACAAACCTATCCCGGGAGTAAGTGCCCCAGAAGTTTGAATTTCTATTCCAATGTGGCCAGGATCTGTGGGAGTCAGGCTATTCAACTCTGAAATGAATGCACAGGTTGGCAAGTGTTACAGCATGTTGGACTGAAGTCTATCTTAGAGCTTCAGTGCTATGTGGAATTTATTTTAAAAGCCATTAAAACAGCACTCCAGCACTGACTTTTCACACTTATCATTGCTAATAAACCCCCCCACCCACTTATATAACCTGACACATCCTCCATGCTTTTGCTCTTTTGCTACACACCTATGGCCACTTATGTCATGCCCCATCCCATTCATCCTTTTCCTTTCACCTCCCAAGCCAACTCACTCAGTATGCACCATGGAGACAGTTCAGAATCATGCTAAGATGTAGTAAAATACAACTCCAATTGCAGAGTTTATTTAAAAATACACACTTGTTCATTAAAAGCCATTTAGACATTTGCATTCTTTCAAATATATGATCATTTATAAGAACAAACATTTAAATCAAACACCTACCCCTTAAAAACTACAGACTTTGGAATTCACAGTCCCACTTCAAAGAAACAATTGCCACTTGGAGCTGTCAAACAAATTGTAACATGGCAGGAACCATTCTGTGATAATGGAAGATTGTGGAATCATTTCTGCACCACTCGTTCAGTAATAGTGGCTGTTAGGCTCAAATCAACAGAATAAACTAAACACCAGATATTTTTAAGACTTGAAGTGCAGGAGATTAAATGCTTTGCCTGTTGAAACTTTCCTTTCACAGTTCTTTTTTGACAGTTTTTTTTAATTATTACTTGTTTGTGGGATGTGGGCCTTGCTGGCTAGGCCAGCCCTTGATGTGTAGGGATGCCATCGGTGCTGTAAGGAAGGGAGTTCAAGATTTTGAACCAGCAGCAGTGAAGGAACAATGATATAGTTCTAAGTCAGGTTGGTGTGTGCTTGGCGGGGAACAGAAGTGGTGATGTTCCCATACATCCATTGCATTTGTCCTTCTTAGTGGGGAAATTACAGTTCAGAAGTTGCTGCTAAAGGAGCCATGGTGAGTTACTAAAGTGCATCTTGTAGATGATTTACAAACAATTATTATGTAACAAGGAGAGAACAGCAAAGAAGGTGCTGTATTTGGAATTAAAGGTCAGGTAGTATAAATTTGAAAAGACCAAACATTAATGAAGTAAGATTTAGCACTTGGCCAAAGAATGGACGAGAAAATGGGATTATGT